ACACATTTTCCAAATACAGCTGCAATTTTCAAACTTTTGAATGCATTCAAACTGTTCTCTGACGTCCCGCAGACGGATCTGTTTCCCACAGGAAGTAGTCCGTTGTCTTTTTAACTTGTGAGGAACTTGTTGTCCTCTTGCAGTGAGATCTGAATTTAACACACAGCAGGTGATTAAAGGGAATAGTAGAAAAAGACAATCAGGCTTCAGTTTGGAGCAGGACTCCATACAATAGGCCCTCTCTCTCTCTCGCTCGCTGTCCCTGCGTGGGAGGAGATGATGAGAATGAAGCCTATTCTTGTTGCTCCGGTTAGACCATGACCTAAAATGGTGACTTCACTTCATCAGCTCTCTGCTGAGCTTCCATGGAACTGACTGCACCCCCTCCTCCTGACAGCAGGTTGGGTGGGGCAGGTGACAGCAGCAGCGATGATACTGAGCCATGCAGACCATACTTGCAAAATCAGTAGCTTGTATGACTATAGGGAAGAAAAGCACAGTTTAAACATTATTAAGTCAGTGCTGCTCTGAATCATTGTTTTTATCTTTATTTTAGCATGAAATATCCGCCGAGACAAAGATCTGTGCAACAATGAAAGTAAAAGCAGAATAAAACGTGTAGATGAAAACACAGCAAAACTATTACATATGCATGAAAAACAAACGTATGTATTTCCTTCCAGAAGCTCAGGCTCTATCGCTCTTTAAAAACACTTACAGATACCAGGATGTGCAGCAGTCATGAAGACAGACTTCTCTTTTATTCAGTCTCATCATATGATCTAAAGTGTCAGTGAGCAGAAACGGACTGAATGTTCTCACAGGTGTTTATGCAAAGAGCTGCAGGTGAGATAACGTTCATCGGTACATTTGAGATGCAAATATCATCAAGCTCACCTGAAGTTTCTACTGAAGCATGAACTTAAATAGCTCTCTGTATTGAAGTTAACTACACACTTCAGCAGCAAATAATGTGCCTAAACTTCCACTATAATATCATCTGAAGGTCAACTCGTCAAGCCTCAGGACCCACCACCTTCTCCTCTGTGAAAAATTGGGGCCCCGAATTTCTGACATTTGTTGACCAATCAGATTTGTTTACTGAAATTTTTTTGCAGTTTGGACCTCAGTCCGTAAAAAAAACGTGACAGAAGCAGGAAACCGGACAAAACAAACATGTTTAAAAAGTGCTTCAAATACTTTTTTACTCAAGTTTTTCCAGACACACATTCACCACCCACTGAAAATGACTCCGCAACCCACCTCTGGGCCCCGACTCCCGACCCAGCGGTTGAGAACCGTTGATCTAAAGGGTACCATTGAAGAGGGAGATTTTATAGACAGACGATTTTTGTCTTTAATATCATGTTGATACTTCTTTATAGATTCAAATCCTCATAAAACGGGATTTCGTGGGTATCTAACTGCCGTGTCGTGATAGAATTATTCCCAAAATAGAAGGAGGGACATAATGATGGGATGAATTGGATTGGATCATTAACTTCAACAAAGCTTTTTAAATGGTCGTAAAGAGATAGTGAGTGCAGGATGAGTCATCACACATTTTAAATGGTTTACAGGAGGAGAGAATAAAGTTATTTTGATGTTAAAACACTCAGATGATGCTTTATTGAAATGTTGTGGCAGATGTATAAATGAACATTTAACACAGGAATGCTGGATTTAAACAAGGAAAATGTATTTTGTTTGTATTATGGGGACTTTAAGCTGTCCAGAAGTGCACAAAACTGACAGGAAATATTCATCTTGACCTGGAACAATGTTGAAATCCTGATTTTATAATTGCATCAGTGTCTTAAAGTCATTCAATGACAAGGCTCTGATCTTTAATCTGATGAATATTTGAAAGCAAAACAATGACGTGTGTCTGGAGATAAAAAAAAACATAGTTCAGCTGATGTGTCATTATCTCACATCGTCTTTGAATATTTACTTTGAAGGACGTAGTTCACAAAGTCTTCACACCGTTGAAGACTATCAAAAAACACTTCATGTTCATGAGTCCGACCTAGATTACATTTTTCTTCTTTGGCCCATCAGTCATCCCTTCAACACATTTTACACATATGATGCTAGAGTTCAATTAATTCATCTTGTGGAGGGGTTGTGGTTCATCTTGTCGACAACGACTGATGAACACCTGAGTTGGTCGCAATGCACCAGCTAGTTTAAAATGTTTATATTTTGCCATGTACAATAAAGGCATTTCATTCCATAAAAATCCTACAGTGTGCATTGGAGTGTCTTTTGCAGGGTAGTTGCAGTTTGCATGCCACCTCTTCACAAGATGGATTAACCATAGCAAACCGCACTCAGGGATCTGTGACTAGAAAGAACCAGCAGCGCTTCCACTCTTTTGTTTTCCTATGATGCTTGTAGTTTTTCTGTTATCCTGCTAACAGACAAATAGCACCGAAAGCACAACTTCATTTGTGGCAACACTTATACAAAATGAATCGGAACAATCTACAATGAGTAACTGATCATAATGAATACACACAAGAAAAAAAAAGATGTAAGATCTTTGTGCACAAGTGTTGCCCGGCCCTGCGGCAGCTCTCGTTGTTAGGCAACAACAACCCGCAGCAGATTACTGAGCGCAACAGCATCAGTTCTTTTGAATGTGTGAGAGCTACTGCAGAGGATCGATGATGGTCTTACAGTGGAGCCTTAGCAACAAAACAAACATGAACTTAAGCCCCCTGAGCAGAGCGATGGAGCTGCCTACATGTACGTCTAGCAGCACGGGGACCGCGCAGAGAGAGGGACCAAAACGAGGCAGAGCGTCAGCATTCCCTACAGATTCATTACTTTCCATCCTGTCACCTTTCTTCCTTGTAAACAGCTTTTATGTGCAAAGATACACTAGATAAAGAGAGAACTTTAAAGACATTTATTAACGTTTGCTACCAGCATGCACGTGGAGGCTGGATTAGGAGATGGAAAACATCACTACATAAAGCTCTGCGCCGACACTTTGTATATACACTTTTCTTTCTTGGCCTGTTACATTTTCCATTTCAAACCAAGACACTGCTTTGAAGCCCTCGCTTCCAGCAGCTCATCTTTACGTCCGCTTCTGTTCAGCAGCAGGAAAACAACAGCTTGCACCCCCCCCCCCCCCCCCCCCCATGAGGACTAATTAAATTGCTGCACTGGTTGCTGTCTATGTCACTGATTAGACCCTGAGCATGGACCTGGGGGACTTCTGCGGTGTTGGGTTACAGTGTAAGGGGCTCTGTAGTAGTGAGGGAGGGGAGCAGACAGGAGGGAAGGTGATGACATCGAGGCTCGTAGGGAGGTAAGGAGATGATGGGATGGGGGAGGATGTAGTCTTGTTCTGCAGCAATTAAGCAAGCCTCTGAAAATTAGATTTTGCTTCTTTCTTTTTTTTTTTTTTTCACCGGACAGATGGCGCGTGTTTTACAGTTTGACCCTGCAGGAACATGGAGTCTGTCTGATTGGCTGAACGATCAGTTTGTGCAAAAATAGCAAGAAGAGCTCAGAGTTATGACATCGTGTGATACTTCTGTAGACTTTAGATGAAAGCTAAAGCTGGAAAATAAATATTTTTTTATGAAAACTAAAAGACAGGTTATTTGTAATTTTAGATTGAACAACATGATAATTCATGAGGTCATTGGATGAAATAGAGGAAGAAATCAGGATTTTGTAGTGTTAGAATGAATATGTACTTTGACTGTTAGAATATTTACATGATGAACTACCAAGCAGCCATTAACAACACACACACACACACACACACACACACACACAAAATAAATTACCCTCTGCAGTACCTTCATGGCCCAGCGGGGGGGGGGCCAGAAGTTATTTGCATGCGTGGTGCAGTTTCCTTCTGTCTTTGTTTCAGTGACACGTGATGTCATCTAGCCATTCTGTTTTCTATCATTTCGATAGCATGCTAACGAGGTCTTGACGCACATAAACAAATGAAATATAAGAGTGATAATGTATCAAAGGATGAAATCAGAGGCTTGTTTATCTGTATCTATTTTGGTTTCTTATTGTACCTCTGAGACATGTGAGGATGGGTGGGATTGCAAGGTTTCTGCAGAAAACAGCGCTGCATCAGATGGTCTCTTTGTGTATTTACTGTCAACAGTTACAGTTTTTGCTTTGTTTTAAAGAGCGCTTATCCAGCTTAAAACCAGCAGAATAGACCACTGACAACCATGCAGGTTTCATCTGACAGATACAACAAATACGGTTTGCACAATAAAATCAGGAGAGGTCTCTTTAAATTACATAAGGAAAACTATTTTTATGTCAAAGTATGGAGGTTGAGTTTTTTGAGTTTAAGGCACAGAGTCTGAGGAAAGAAGCTGCTCTGTAGTCTGCAGCAGATATTTCTGTATCACTTGCCAGATGGCAGGTGATGGTGGATATCATCCTTCAGTTTATCTGTTTGGCTCTATGAAGGCACCTCAAATGATTAGTTTTGTTTTATCACTCATTGATATACTGAGTGGAGGCAAAGAGACAAAGGAGAGCTATTTTAGAACAACCAAGAAAAAGTGGCAATAGTTTGTGTCAGAGATTCTCTTTGTGCTCAGACGTCTCTCATCTCGACTCGAAACTTTAAAATTCACAAATATCTGCCTTGAAGGTGGATGCTGATAATCAGAGTGAATTGTGGGAGGCGATTCAGAGGTTTCTGGCCAGTCGAGGAGTTTCCACCTACACTTTTCTTGTAGTCAAACACACAACAACAAGAGCCTTTTTCAGAACAAAGGACATGAGAAGAGAACACAAGGAGTGGGGTGATGCTGCCACCCTGTGGAGGAGCTGTGAACTACAGTCATGTGACAGCTCCATGATTTGATTCTGGTCTTCATTGTCCATTTAGGTCTTTTAACACTAAACATTACTAGACTGTTGTATAGTTCATCAGCTGTTTTACTTCTACAGAGTGACACAGTTTAAAGTATTAATCTTTTCCTCTCTTCTCCACTCAGCGGTGTACATCCTCCTCGGGGCAGGAGGGTTGATGATGATCGTCGGGTTCTTCGGCTGTTTTGGGGCCGTACGAGAGTCTCAGTGTCTTCTCTCGTCGGTGGGTACATGAATGAGCTGCCTATGACAGTATTCATTCACAGTTTTGTGTTTTATTGTTTGGATACAAACTTCTTGTGGGGGGGGGGGGCCTGTTAGAATTTCTTTTCTATTTGGTACTAATTGTGAAGACAAAAAGAGTTTGATTGGTGCACTCTCCATGAAGTCTTGTTAGTTTTGATTTACCTAGAGCTTTTGTTTCTTTCAAGGACACTTTCCATGGAAGAGGGAAACTTCAATTATCAGGAAATGTTTCACTAAATTGATTGCTTGGTCAATTGCTGTTTCCCACAGTCACACAGACACTTTCAGTCTCAGTTTAAAGGTTTTAACAAGAAATAACTGACCTAGAACGTGAAGTGTTACCTTCCTAAACCCCTCCCCCTAAACTTGGAGACATATAACACCTTTTTCTCTTCCCAAGTTCTTCGCCTGCCTCCTGATCATCTTTGGAGCAGAAATCGCAGCTGGTGTGTTTGGATTCTTAAACAAGGAACAGGTACAACTCTTAAGTCATTCATTTAAAAATAAATAATGTTTAAATGTTTCCTCGTAATCTGTAGAGGAATCCTCTAAATGACAGATTTGTTTGTCACCTTTTGCTCACAACAGATTGTTGAGGAAGTCCAAAAGTTTTACAGCAGCTCCATCTCTGACGTCTCCAACGCCAATGGCACTGCAATAGCTCTCCTTTACCACAAAACTGTAAGTACAATTCAATTAAAGTTGTTCATGGTTTAATTTTGTTATCTATTACTCATCATCACTCTTTTTCATGACAGCTGAACTGCTGTGGAGGATCCATGTCAGAAACCTCAACTGCTCTCTGTGCAGACTCTACTCCAGAGGACACACCGGTAACTACATGCGATACTTTATACACTGCTATGACACTTCATATCCACATGGTGGCAGTGTGGTGCTATTTTAAGATTCAAAGATTTGCTGCAATTCAGAGTTGAATCAGTCCTGATATATAATTGATGTTTTTTTAATATGAAATAGTTCACAGCAGGACGTTGTGAATCATTTCATTTCCTAATGAAATCCTAACTGCTGTGTTTTAGGACTGTCTCACTGCTATAACAGACTTCTTCAATGAGAAGCTGCACATCATCGGATTCATTGGGATTGGAATCGCAGGAGTCATGGTGAGATTTGTCACAACTTTAAATTGAATTCACGGTCATTTTTTGACCATTTATCTTTGCTCTCATTTGTCTTGTGATACTGATTTGACTCTAACGTTTTCCAAATGGTGTTTGCTTTCAGATCGTTGGCATGTTCCTCAGCATGTTCCTGTGTTGTGCCATCAGGAATAACAGGGAGGTTATATAGTCGATTAGCACCCTTCCCTCTTCCATCCCATTCCCACCAGCCAATAAGCCCACTACACCCTCCTGCATCCCTTCAGAATCAACCCCGTCTGCAAGAGAAGGGACACACCAAAGTTACATTTCACTTTCATTTCTCACAGTCCAGAGTGAGCTGGTGGGGGATTTCCTCAAAAAAGAAAGAAGATTTCATCCGTCTACAGGTCAAATTCAACACGATACGCTGGATCGTTTCTTTTTTTTCTCCCCCACTCCACAGGCCCTGAAAAAGTTAACCCTCTGCTCTTTTTCATAACACTCGCTCTGCTTTTGGCACAACTCTGTTACAGTCCTCCGTTACAACATCTTTCTGTTCACTGCAACTCCAACACGACTCAGAACATGGAGCCTTCTTTGACACGGGAATGTTGTGATTGAGGAGTAATGCTGTAAATACCAACACCTATGTTATGCACCTGCTCTTGACATTATTTATCGCTCTCTTTTGAAGTCATTTATTGGCCTTATCTTGTGTGCTTAAATGTTTGGAGGACTAGTCGACCTTTGCAGAGTGAGTTTCCATAATGTGCCTACTGTATATTTATTCACAACGATAAGCCTCCAGCTTCATTTTCCTGCTGATTTCGATATGTACATAACGCCTGTGCTTAGTCCTAGCCAACACACTCTCGAGTATTTCTTTTTTTAGAGCACAATACAGGACATGTAGGCATGGTTTGAACCCGAAGTGTGAGAAAATGTCTGATGATAAACTGCCACTCTGAATCTCCAAATTCTAAAAGGTCATGAGTAACACGACGTCTTGAGCTCTCCCGGGGAGCATGTGTGAACTGTAACAGTGAGTTAGTTTGCCTTTTTGTGTGGATTATTTTGGATGTAAATTTTGTTGGTGTGCCAATAAGATGTGAATTATAGGATAATATAGTTTATGTCATACTCTTAACCTTAATAAAAACACATTTTGTGTGCTTTTATTGAATTGTTTGGCTGTTTTTTCGTTGTTGAAGAATCAAAGGGAGACTTCCTGTCAGTTTGTCTGAGGTGCAAGTCGAGGGTAAATGCAAATTTTGTGGTCAGTGAAGTTCCTGAACACATACGCACTACGTGTACACTCATCAAGTTGAAATGGCTGCCATCCAGGGCAAGGCAAGCAGCTAAATCTATATAGCACATTTCACACAGAGGTTTAACTTTATACAGGTGGAGAGAAACTTCAGAATGACATCCAAAAAACCAGAATGACTTTATACCATTTAACAAAAGTGTTTATTGTAAAAAACCCAACATATATATTTAACTTTAAGGTAAACTCCTGCACACTGTCTTACTGGCAAACAAACGTATTGGCAACCTTTCAGATACTAGATCTACGCACATCAGGCAAACAGTTTGCTTTGTCACCTGGGAGTTTACCTTTAGGTTTTAATGGACACGTTGCTCTACTACGCACCTGTCTTATGAAATGGAAGTGTGAAGGTTTTTTCTATCTAGAAAAAAAACAGATCAAATGAAATAAACCCTTTAAAATACAGTAATAGTGTTTCTGACAGTGCATTTAATTAATTAAAATGTGACAAAATAGCATCTGTATGCATAATCTGCTCTCGTTACAACTCTTGCAGCAGCCTTGTGAATGAGGTGAAGTTGCCTTTGACACGAGGCCCCTGATTCTCACTTTTTGTTTAAGGATATAAATGTTGTAATGGCAATTTTACGATTTTTTCCCATGTTCCAATTATTGCCATCAATACACAGGTAGGGGTGAAGTCTTAAGGCGATGCAAACAATGATTTTCCAGTCGTTACTATAGTTGAGTTGGAGGTTTATTATAGTTAATTGATGGGGATATGAGAACAAAAAACATACCATTTCCAGTTTAATGTAGCCAGTAGAATACCTGTTGTTGCTTGTCTGAGTTCTGGTCTGAAACATGAATACCGGTCTGGTGAGAACTGTCTGTGCTCCCCCTACCTGTGCCTTCCCCTTCCTGTCACCTATGCCATTATATACTGTATACACCCCTGTGCAGTGTTCCTAGTGGAAAATAATATGTCAAGATAAATCTAATTATATAACATGCCAACGATAAACACAAAATGGCTCCTACAAATGTAGAGTTGGTTGTTGTCTTAATGTGGCTCGCTATCTGGGTCTTTTCAAACAGAGATTTCTAACCTGGGTTTACCTCTTTAAAGCTCTGGAATCAAGGTGAGCCAAACTTCATTCTTCCTTGAAGGAAATTGGATTGCCTCCAGACATTCAGGTGCCTAAGGGTTTGATATAGTGATTCCAAGGAACTGTCAATGGATCATTTTTTGTTGGGCACCAATTCACAACACGTGTTATCTCAAGACAATTTAGAAAAAGAGCAGGTCTATACCTTACTCTTTGTCATATTATCTACAAAGACCCAACATTATTGGCTTTATGAGCACTACGCAACATTTAGCAAAGTTACAGTGGAAATGAACATCCTTTAAAGAGGCAGAAACCTCGAGCAGAACCAGACTCATGATGAACAGCCATCTGCAGAAACTGTGTCGGCTTAGATTGGGATCGAGGGAGATGCAGGAAGAAAGGATGATACCAAAGAAGAGGGGCCTGATAGCTGAAGGATCTACCTCCTGTAGTATCCTATCTGTCTGAAAGAGTTAATAGTAAATCTGAGTGTCGTCTGCTTACTGATAACATTTTGGCCTGTATATTACCTAAAGTGTGTACAGACTGTACATGTAAGGCGGCTGTGGCTCATTGGTAGAGTCGGTTGTCTCTCAACCAGGTCGGTAGTTTGATCCCCGGCTGCAGCCTTGGGTAAAACACTTAACCAAAACACAAGTTGTTTTGTCCGTGGCGCATGAATGTGTATGAATGGATAAGTGAATACTGATGAACACTATACATAGCAGCCTCTGCTATACCGGTAAGTGTGTGAACGGGTGTGAATGGTTAGATGTGGTGTGCGGTGTAAGAGTGCTTTAAGTGGTCGGAAGACTCGAAAAGTGCTTTACAAGCTCAAGTCCATTTACCATTTACAGGTTGAATAGTGGCCCAAGTATTGAATCCTGGGGAACTATTTGTGTCAGGGTGATCCATTCAGTGAATCACGTAACAGCCTCTTCCAGCCTGTAATGAAGTATTTCCTGGTCCTCAGTATCAAAGGACTTTTCTCAAATGTAAGACAAATTCGACTGACAACCTTAATCAGTGCAAAGATTTTGCCTAAGGGCGGCTGAGCGTAAAATACGACTTGAGTAATTCAGCAAAATTGAGAATATGACAGAATGGGCCCAGGACTGGTCTTCTTGAGAAAATATAACACAGCCTTGACAAAATCCTCTGTGCAAAAGTCCCTCTGACCTATTTCCAGCTACACAGAGAACCTTTACTCACCGAGGCCACAGGATGTGGTTAAAGGCTTAGCAAACAGTGTATCTGGTATTTTAAAAGTTTTTTTATTTTTATTGAGCTGCTGTTATCATAGTTCAATTAACCTTAAAGGTAAACATTTTTATAATTTTTCAAGCAAATAATTAATTTTCTCAAGCCACATTTCCATATTGTGGAATAATTAGTTTAGTAAGTTTACGACAGATTAGAAAGATACGCATTTACTCAGAACTTCTAATTCAAGACGTGTAACAATTGTAAAGCTAAAATCAAACATTTATTACTAGTTCATACCCAAATTGTATTGATTTAACATCTTTTACATTACCATAAACTTCCAGCAGTTTGAAGAAAACATTAGTGCATATTAGATTTATAAGACACTACGTCTTTGTTATAGTCGCCAAATCATTCAACAAACACAAAATTAACTTTCTGCAAGTTTTTAATGCATATACATATATATATATATATATATATCGTGTGTACAAAAAGCCATGACAAATACAACGTTTTGTAACAGTTATCTTTCACATGTTCAGTCACAGTAATAATGCTTTGTGGGCACAATGCCAAAGACAAATGTCAATCTGCTCTTCTGAAGGAATAAACCAAGAATATTTTTGTTGTCTGTTTATGGCTAAACAGAGGTCGTGCATAAGTTTATATATAAATGTATAATGAGCATGAATGCATATTCAGTCTTTGCAGATCACAACACACACAGACTGAAGTTCACAGACCAGTTAACAACTGTAGAGTTAATATCAAGTATCTGCTGGAGCATTGCTGACACTGCTGATGGTTTGGCAAATGTATGTGGTCCCTAATCAGTACGAAGGTTCATGGTCAGTCAGATTTAATATGTATACTAAGTTATTGCTGTAATGTTGCCAGGAGTGTCCCCCATGTGAAGTCACATAAATGTAAGGCAAAGAAGAAAAAAACTTACTAACAAGAGTACTGCAAGCTGCTGTATTTCAGCAATCTGAAAATAAACTAGCATTCACATTTAAAAAAAATGATGTAATCACAGATTAAGGTCTGTCTTTGATGGAGTGAGCTCCCCTCCCTCACAGAGGGAAACACAGCAGGGCTGTTTCAGGGATAGAGAAAGAATAAAACTGCAACTCTGGACCCCACATCTCATTAAGTCTTAAACCGCTTAAAGTGCAAACGTGGGCCACGGCCTACTGGATAAGTCACAAAGTTTTCAAGTGCAACACAACTGTCGGACCGTACAGAGATGAAACTGTAGGTCTTCACACCCTGAAGCCTTTCTGACCTCATCAGACAAGACTATATTTGTTTGCTGTAAACTGGTGTATGTAGCTGCCAGTTTTTCCAACCACCTTCGCTCTTAAGAGGTCCTGCTCATATCCAGATAAAGCGTTGATGATCACGGCGACAGGAGCCTTAGAGGCGAGTTGTCAATGATGTACTCGCCAATGCCAACAAAGTACATAACCTGTGCAATGCCGAACAGAGGAGCTATGACGAGAGCTCGACAGCCGGCACCCTTCAGGAAGGCAGAGGGTCCCTCCTTCCTCATGATTTTACTGCAGAGAAACAAAGGACAAAGTTTATTTGTACGCCTGCATTAAAGCAGAGATAAAGGGGTAATTATACAACAATGAAAACCTCAATTGTTTTACCTCACACAATCCAGGATTCCATTGTAACTTTCCTCAGTGGACCCTTTGTTCATTGACTGCAGTCTGGTCTTCACCACTAAGAAAAAGAACAAAACATTAGAAAAAAATTGCAGAAATTCCAGTCTTGGAATTTATAATCAGAAAAAACATCAAAGCTCATATAACTCACCATCACAGGGGTTAACAGCCACAGCAGCAGTAGATCCGGCCACACAGCCTGAGAGGAAAGCCCAATAGAAGGGAGATGCTTCCTCAGGACTCGGTTTGCCGAGGAGGTTCAGGTTTGCAAACAAGGGGAAGTACAGTATAGAAAAAGGAACATCCCTAAAAGAAATAAAGCAAAATGTTGAATAAGAGTGAAACTAATACAAGCGTAACTTGTCTAACAGGTTGACATGGTTGCTCTTAGGGGGAAAAGACATTTGAGTTTTACCTCATCAGTGTTGCTCCTAGACCTTTGTAGAGCCCCTGGATGCCCTGTGTGTGGAGTAGTTCTTTAGCTATCTGAGTGGCTGACACAGCTCGTGGTGCTGAGACCACCGTGCCAGAGATATATGAGCGACTGAGCATGGTGTTGGTGACCACCAGCTTCGTGGGAGACATCATGACTGGTTTTTGCTTCTGGGCCGCTGCGGATAAAGGACAAAAGAAAGAAATAAACACACAAATTCTGGGTTTGTTTTAGGCTTTGTAAAAGCCAAACTGAAAATGTTCAACTTTAACTGCAATTCTTCTCACCAAGTCTGCCTGCATCTTGTAACTGTATCTTGAGCATTTCCATTGGGGTGGTTACAATGACCTGGCACATGCCTGCACCACAACCTGCCAGCATCTCTTTGAACACTGTCAGTCCCTTTCTGTGAACACAAGAGAGAAAAACTCAGTAAAACAAGACAAGCAGTACTTTTTTTTTTTATCTTTAGATGATTTTAATGAGACAATGTGTCGTACCCATTCTTAGCAAGGTGTTGCCTGAAGAAGTCGTTAGCAGCAAGCTTGATTGCCTTCTCTGGGGTGACCAGGGTCAAATTAACAGCAGCACCTGGGAAGAAAAATGAACACAGTTACTTCCTTCTGTCCCGATAAAAATCTCTTGTTCAGCACATATTTAAAAAAAAAACAAAAAAAACATTTCCACCATTATCATTACAGCATTAAAATGTACAAAAGGCCATAACTATTAATGCATACACAATTTAAAGTAGCTTCAGTTATGATGATGGAGAGGGATTACATCAACAGAAATAAATCAAAACATGACATTGAGAGGGAAAACTAGAAACTAAACAAACTGAGACACAAGACAAGGAAAGAAACAGAAGGATATCCAGAGGGAGATGCAAACTCTATCAAATACAGTGGGTCAGTTTATGAAAAAAGAGCCCTCTATATGGAGAGAGAACTTGGAGAAAAGGAAGTTTGTGAGTCTATTGAGAGGGTACAGGTCAGAAAGAGAAGGATGACATCAGCATACAAGAGAAATAAAGGGATGTTAGTGAATGGACAGACAGAAGTATTTGACCAAGTACTGTGTACGTAGACTTTAGGTATTCTTACAGACTGATCTGTGAAAGTGTTGACCTTTAAAAATATGCTTTACATCAACACAGATTTAAGAGCAACCCAAGTCCACAAAGACACAATTCAAAGTCTAGAAAATGATTTACGACACGTTGACAGGACAGTAAAGAGACAGCCATGAGGTTATGAAGAAGAAGTCAAAATACAGAACAAATAGATGGCAAAACAAAAACTTGTGCCTATAGTTTTAAATAGAGCAATATTGTAAGAACCATTAAATGATTTGCCTCCAGCGTGGCTGCGCCTTATCGGCTAGCCTTCAATATCCCAGGGGGACCCAAGTCTGTAATATGAAAAACACAGATGCAAACAAACAGCTTTCCTCACACAAGCAGAGACCCAGACTAAAGGTCTAAATTTACCTCACATTTCATAACAACCACAAGATTTTCCTTTTCCTTTTCTACATTAAATAAAATCTAAATCAAACAAGAAGGGCTTTTCCAAGTAATGCATGAATTCTATCAAAACACACCAGAGCTTAAAGCTGCAAAACCACTTGGCATGAAAACAACTATTTCCACTGTATCCCAATCCCATTTATTTTAACCATTTGTTACATGTTTAAGTTAATCAAGAAACCCATGCATTCAGAATAAACTGCAGCTGAATCCTTACGAGTATGAACCTAGTTGTAATTATTGTTAAACCAAAAAAAAGATTTTACCCACCCTCAAATTTAACCCATTGCTACTCATTAAGGCTACTGATTAGTAATATAGTCAAATTTGCTTTAGTCTTACCTCTGTACATTCCAAAGTAGCCCTCTGATCGGACTGTCTTCACAAGGCAGTCCATCCTTCAGGAGAAAAAAAAAGTGAAATAAAGTTAATAAAAAGAAACAATTTCATACTTTCCTGAAGCAAAATTTAAAAAGCCCAAATATCAAATCACAATGACAGTTCAATCATATTGGTTAATCTGCGGCTGCTTTGAGGGAACATCAATGCTGAGTGAGTAAAGGGAGCAGTAAATTTCCACCCTTCACATGCATCTGAAAACACCCCACCCGCTCATTTCATAGGAATGTGAGCTATGAATGGTCATCACGGGGATTCACCCAATGCTCCACTTCTTCTACACCTGGTCCTGGCGTCATTGTGGGATTAGCAGGAATAGTACTGGATTACAAACGGAGGTAGTAGGCGTAATGCCATAAGATTTGGGAAAACAGAGGGTGATGTCATTACAGACGGAGAAGTACAAATACTTACATGCTCTTGTAGACCTGCTGGCCGTGTCTCTGATTCTGTAACCTGGTCTTGGCCAAGTCAATAGGGAAGACACAGGTTACGCCAACAATGCCCGCTATACCGCCGTTAATGAGCTTGGCGGGGAGGCTGAAAGGCAACAACAGAGACGAAAACAATCAATATTGTGAAACTGTTTGAATTGATTGTAAGGCATGAATCTGACAAATACAAAAAGGATAATTAATTATCTAAAGCTACTTAATTATGAAGGTTTAATTTCTCTGTTTACTTTCATTATGAAAAAACTAAATCTTCAGAGGATAGGACAAATACATTAATACAGTTCTCTATATGGAGCAAAATGTGAATATAAAAGGGACACTCACCTGATCTGCTGCTGAGACATGATGACTTTAAATCAAGTTTAAATATATGTGCAAAGGTAGAAATGTAGATCCAAGTTTTCTTCAGTCAATGAATAGATTCCTAGAAAGACAAAATTGGATGAGTTTATCACCACTGAACGGACAGGCAGGTTCCCGAGAACTCACAGACTGTGTACACAGAGCTTTATCTCATTCAAGAGGGCAGGATTTGACGTATCGAGGCGCCACAGGCTCACGAGGTCACGATGCAGGGGCTCTGCTGTAATTTGAGTAGTACTCGCAGTGGGCGGGGTCTAACTCACATACCGGAACACCATATATGGCCACTACTGCCTTTCATACATTCTTGATAGCCCGCTTTCGTTACAGCTGAAATCTAACGCAATTTACAGGCATTTGGCTTGACGTAAAACTGACTTCATGATAAGCTTAGTTCAATGCGCTTTAATGGAAGAACGCACGTCACTTCTTTCCGAACAAGTGTGAACATTTAAAGCGTTTTAAATAAAAGGTTCTGCACGGACACCGACCAGCTCAATGACTGTAAAAGGTTTTTTACACAGTCTCATTTGATTTACGGTTGTGTCTCTTTACGTTAAGTTTACGAGCAGTTGTTCTCGGTTTTATTTGTACCGGGCGGCTAGGTTATCAGATAACCACGGGGTTTTTGTATCCATTCAGACCAAAAACTGGTACAAAAAGCGAACAAGGTGGCTACCACGAGCTTATTAATGACTTGAAAACACATAACTATACAAAAATCATAATGTAAAATGTTTAACTTACCGAGAGATTGTCCTGTAATTGTTCTTTAAGATTGTTACAAGCCGTCTGTCTGATATGATCTCACTGCCGGAGTCACTTCTGCTATTATACTACCGAGTGGAGAGAGTGGAAATTTCCATTGAGTTTCAAAGTGGGGGCGTTGCCTAGACCTTACTACCACTGCCTGAGAACCAATCAGCGTCAAGAAAATGTGAACACTCGGAATGATTTGCTGACTCGGACCTTCCCCTTATTTCATTGGACGGAAGACCAATCAATCAAAATGTTCAACCAATCATATACTACCAGGATGAACGCGGATGTGTGTTGAGCGAAACCATTGTCTGAGGTTTATGTTGTTTTAATGTGTGATTTTAAAGTTAAAGAATGTCAATAAAGCCGCGTTAATACCTGTTTATTGCTTAACCTAAGGGTAGGATAGTATGCCCTTTAAGTTAAGGTGATTTTGGCCATTTGAAAGTCACTGGGCTAAGTTGATGATGGCTTTAGGATCACTCAGTTAAGCTTGTGAGTGTGTTAAGTGGGATGAAATCTTTCTGTATGATTCTAGACTTTTCCATTCACCTGCTGCTAGTGTGCGTCCTAGTGGAAAGTTACTAACTATATACTTTACTTAAGTACCATTTTGGGGAACTTCTACTTTGACTGTAGATTTTAATTAGATATATTTAATCCAACAGCAATAGTTGCATGAAAGAAAAAGATGTATCACATAAGGGAGTTTTTTTTTAATTAAATATGGGTCATTGCATAAGATGTACTGGTATTGGCCAACAAGCGACATGTTACATATCCTCTGTCTTGACGTGTTGCAACACTGCTTGTTACATGTAAATGCATCTTTCATATGGAGTAATGTATGATATAAAAACATTTTTTATTAAGTCAATGTTCTTGCATTGTCAGTACTTACGCTGTGGTAATTTAAGAATTATTAAATGCAGAAATAAGTATCATATTTCTTTATTACGTAGGCTATGTTGGTCTTTTGTTCTTTTGGGCCATAGCTGGAGAAATGTGGGTGGGGGGAGCTGAAGAATTCGACCCCTCCCTCATTGTCCACCCTTTAAGTATCCTATACGCAAAGCCCTCACCGCTTTGAACTCACTGCTGTGACTCTGTGTGCATAAGAAGCAGGTTTTGCTGGAGGTGGCATCCAACTGAATCCCCTTTGATACATGTAGAGACAAGAAGAGTACTGATGTGGCAAGACAAACATGGCATATCTCTTGTCAAAGTGATAGCAGAAACAAAGGATATCCCAGGAACTCACAGAACGAAATAGCTGCATGATTAAGGGGTAGATGCCACATACAAGATGGCTCTTGTTCGGAGTGGAACTAGTTCTTCTATGTGGTCATACCATACCAATAGGTTGTAGTCTTTCAATGCAAATACATGACAGGCTGGCTTAATGTATTTTTTTGCAACAGGGTGTGGTGCATATCATCTACAAGTTATGCAGCCTTTGCATTGGCATCACACTTAAAGATCCACTAGGTTATGGTCTCGTCTTGTCTAAATGTTTCTAGTCTATTCTGTGTAACTCACTATCAACACCTACCGTACTTGACCTATTTAGATCTTTATCTCTTGTATTTCAATGACAGTTTGCCAAATATGTAGGAATTCAGGACTCAGGTAGGAGTAATAACTCAAATTAATTACCCAGGGGTAGGGCAGACAGTCTGTTTTGTAAAATGTTTGAAATCATAAAATAAGCTTTATACTATGCAACAACAATATGTTTATAAGAGGAATGTATCAAATGTTACTGGAGCACAATAACAGTATGAATGTGAATGCTTAGTTTGTCTGTTGTTATGATGAAAACACTGCTTCAATTGCAACATCTGTATAAGCCACAATGGAGGATGACACACCTTCATGCATACTTGTCTTTCATACTTACAATTACATGTCTGGCCTACTTTTATCTGCATCACATAATAATGTTCTTAAAGATGAAAGACCAACCCATGCTGCATACATTTTGTACATTGGGGTGACAGATTAATGTCAGTTGATGTGGTTAGCAAATAGAATATAATATAGTATCCAACATTCGTACCAGAATAAGACCCCAGTTGCTGATTAGTTGAGAAGAGATAACACAATTAGTCCTACATTCATATAACTGTTACAGTGTTAAGTCATTGTCTTTTTTAATAACATTTTAGACTCACATTTTTGAACGTGAACTCAGAGGAAAATGGCTGCTTCTTGAATTTGGTGAATATACATTTTGTTAAAACAAACACAGTCACAAGGTCTCCAAGGTTCCTGCACGCTATGGAGCCATGCTTGCAGCTTTGTTTAACTATAAATAGTCACTGTGGCTGAAGGAGTTAAATACTAACATATTTAAGGTTAGGGTGTTAACATGCTATGAGTGTGAATTAGTAGTGATCTAATTAAATACAACTGTTGATGTTGTGAGTAGAGGTGGGCAAAAAAATCAAGATTCTTCTCTTCTAAGATTTAAAATTGATTCATAATTTCCAAAAATCGATTACCGGTATTATTATTATTATTTTTTAACTCAGTAGAATGCCAAAAAGAGCAACAAGAAATTCAGCCAGTCTCACAGATGACTGGAGTAAATCCTAAAGTATTTACTAATACTAATCGTTTTTGGATTGGAAATTCTGAATCGAATTGTGACCCCCAAGAATCGAAACTGAATCGAATCGTGAGACACCCAAAGATTCCCATCCTAGCCCTAATTGTGAGTACCATCAGTCTTGGACAAAACTGGTGATGTTACAAGGTAAGTCAAAAAAGGTACAAGGACACATGTGTGGGGACAATGAATATCTGTTACAATATTCATTACAGTCTATCTATTAAACAGTCGCATAAAAAAAAGGAATATCACCCTGCTGTCGAAAACACGGGAACCAATCAGAGGACAATGAATGTCATAACTTGCGCCATAGTTGTTGATAAATGGAGGTGTAAACCATACAGTCTAGACTAGACTGGTGCCCGGATTAACCAAATGCCAGACCATCATTGTCCGCCTGTGCGGCTCACATGACAAAACATTTTCTCCCATTTTTCTAGTTGAATAAACACAACACAAACAAAACTGTACAGTTTGTGTGAATGACTGGTCGGTATGTGGACCTCATGGCTGCTTCTCTTGGACTGCTGATGGGAGCAAATTCCCTTTCAGCCCATGCCTTATCCAATAGCGTTTTCAAAACAACAGCACAGGGAATTGGGGCCAGGTATTTCAAACTATTGTGCCATATCAGACAGATGACTTTAGAGTCACCTCAGGTCAACTGTTAGCATTATCAATTTAATATGATTAACCCCAAAGTAGTGGGCATAAGGATTAAAAAAGGCCTCAACCATATCAAGTACTGTATTAGCCTTTTTTAACATACACATATAGTCAGCTTTGTAGAGAGTTGGTTAATATGAATTGGTTATCTTTCCCCTATAAAGAAAGCTTGACCAATTACAAACATGTCTGTCTAATAAAATAATGAAATATTTTCAAGGACAAACACAGCCAAAGCCAACTGACTACAAACACCACGGTTGAAAAAGTAGTGCACCAACGTGTTTGCTGACTGTCTGCAAGGTTAAACAGTGTAGGGTTGTTAAGTTGATAGTGGCGCAGCATTTTAGAAACCAGTTTTCAAACTCTCTTCCCCCTTATACAGTCTGCTTGACCTCCTTTAGTTTGTTGCCTCCTTTCAAAAACAAACCTCAAGGTGGCTTCAAGGTGACTTATGTTGTGATTGCTGTCAGTAACTGTATGAGTGATGCAGGCATAACGTGAGTAATGCAGACCTAGATCAGCTCTGTTTGCTGATAAAGTGGCACCTATAACATCTAACCAATACATTGTTGATCTCCCTTTTGTGCTATCCCTTTAAATCTGATGTTCTGTGGGTCTTTTGTTCACCAGATTTTTATATCTTTTTTTTTGTTTTACTCAATTCTGATCATAAAAAGTTGACAGCTGCAGAACCCACAAATAGGAACAATAACGATCTGAGCCTTACAGAATAGTCACTGACAGAAGAAAGCTGAACTAAACAGAAGTGACACTTTATGAAGTAGAGTGATAAGAACAATGTCATACAGATCCACATAATGGATCAGTCATACATTCCCTCACTCGGACGGACTATTAATAAGCATCAGCTGTCCTCCCAAATTCCCGGGAAATGTGACGGGAAACTAAACATGAACTACTTGTGATGAGACAAAATCACCCCACAGTTATCAAACTCACCATGTGATTTTGGCGTTTGGCAACTCTGCTGTGTGCTTGATCATTATGGGTCAACCCTCCTCCACTAGGATGTCTAAAATTATAAGGCGTGTCAACTCACACGTGCAGTCAGATGACTGGTGAGGCAAATATAGTGCCCTGAGGTGACATTGTGGGCTGTCATGGCTTTAGTGTTTGTTGTGTTGAAAACAGAGCAGAATGGATTGGCACAGGATGTGATTAAGTCAAGCGAGGCTTAGGCAGAGAGCTATTTAGAGACTTGAGCTTTAATTGAGGTGTATTCAGAGTATCCCTTACAGAGTAAACATAATAAATCCATGAGTCTCACATCTATGAGTTCAGAGGAAGATAATTAATTAAGGTTAACAAAACACACAAAAGGATCAACAGCTGCATTGTAAACTGAGAAGCAGAGCTCCAGTTCAGACAGCTCTGGGGACAAAGGCACAAGGAAACAGTCTGGTACAACAGGCAATAAAACAGAACGTGCTAGGCAACGTCACAAGCCCATAGGTCACGTTTTTCTCTTTCAAAAACACATATGAATCATGCAGCTTAAGATGTGTAACTTCAGCAAAGAATGAATCATGAGAAAGTTAAATGTTATGAATCAGAAAGGGGTCAGGTAGTTGCTCTGGCCAGGATATGGGTAAAGACGTCTGACTGGTTTGTTGCACCGAGCTCCAACTGCGCCGGCTCTGTGTGCACAGTCATCCGTTTCAGTCTTGCAGTAATCACACTTGCAGCTGAGCGCCACGGGGTAGGTGAAGACAGGGTTCGTCCTGATGGGACAGCCGGGCAGAGTGGCGGTACGATGTTCAACTGTGTCGTAGGTGCATCCTCTCTGTTTGAGGAAGGGTAGGCTGTGTTGGCCCTTTACGACACTGTCCTGTTTATCACACACACAAACACACATGAATTCAATTATAATACAACTTTATTTCAGTTTCTTGAAAACACAAACGTTTAGAACGTGTGACTGTTTGGAGCCAAAAATTGAAATGTAATTATGAAAAAAAAAAATGTATTGTATGAAATTAATCTCAGCACAAACACAACCAAGACTTGAAATGGATATTCTTAATGTCAGATCTAACATGTAATATTTTAAATTCATATTTCACAAATACATTAAATTAAATAATGTCAGGTAATAATTGAATTTTATGACTACATTTCAAAAGAAATCATCCAAACTATTTTTCCTTTTTCCAATTCGAGAGAGCCCACGCATACACGCTGAGAACATGGAAACTCCACACATGGAGGCTCCTGTCCGACTGGGATTGGAACCAGGAACTTCCAAACTGTGAGGCAACAGCACTAACCCACTTCTATAGTGATCAAATGTATTTTTTTTCTATTTGATTTTTTATTTTCATCTAGTTTGTGAGAGATGTGATTCATTTAGTTAAACTTCATCATTCTAGAATACCAACAACACCCGCTGATGAGGCTTAGCCTTTGAGCACACTCAGCAGCATTAAGATGTTGATGAATGTCTCCCCTGTTCAAATAAAGATAGTTTTCATCTTTTTGATTTGTCTGTTTTTCTTATCAACCAAAAGATATGAACGACAATCTGTTATTTCACCACAAAGAACGTTCTTACCCATGACTTGCAGAATCCCATACAGATGGTGGTGTTGATGGCCACACAGAAGTCACACTCTGGTCTCTCCACGTGCAGGGTGAAGTCAGTGGGTATGCACATGGGAACAGCTGGGCTGAACAGCAGAAAAAGGAGCCAGCAGGTGAACACTGCAGTCTCCATGTTAGAGGGTGTAGCTTTCTTTCTTTTCTTTTTTTTACGATTAACTTGGAACCTGTATGGAAAACCTTTATGTTTCTCTCTGCAGGTGGATTTACCTCAACAGCTTGCAGGTCTGATGATTCTGTGAGTCTGAGAATCCCAGCTGAACAGTATTTATGAGAACCTTTTATAATCATCCTTTATCCATGTTAGCTGTTGTCCTCGATCTATGACGAAAAGGAACTGAACTTTAAGTCCATTATGTGAATGACATGAATTAATGATTTCCTTCATGATGAGTATTCATTCAGCAGTCGAAGAAAATGACGCATTGGATTCTATACCAGAAAAAAGCCTTCATATTACCATCTGTCCACTAGATGTCAGAAAATATCTAAAAGATGCATTTCTGCCTTAAAGAATGCATTATATTTTAACATGAAGTTTACTTCATTACTCACTCATGGACTGTGATTTATAATGCAACTTACCTTGTCTTTGTGTGATTTTTCATTTACATGTGATGTGATTGTTATGTGATGTGAGGATTTATGTACTTTCCGTACAAACGGACATTAAAGTGTTATGTTGTAATTTTCCCCCCAAAAATTATTTCATTTGAATAAAAAAATGAGAACAAGAACAAGCTTGTTTTCCTCTACAAACTATTTCAGATTTGGATAACTAAATGTTGCTTCATGCATTACTGTTAACAACAATTTACACCAGTCAGCAATGTGCAGAACGGAATTCACAAAAAGTTGCAGTCCAAACATGTGTACAACACAGGTAGAAAATGTACAGAGCTGGTTTATCTAATCTACTCAGACAGTAAGTAAAATAAATCTTTACCAAACCAAGTACTTCAAATACAGACTGCAGAAACTGACAGTTGCTGTCTGGACATTGCGATCATTCCTCCCAACACTATCAGATTACAGAGATGTTCTTATCTATGTTTTTGTTTAATGATAGTTGATGATAGTCAAAGTCTGTCTGATAATCAGTACGGTGCATTTTAATTAGTTTTTAATGTCATTGTTGAGATTTTATTTGGATTTCCTGCACTGGGCCATAAATTAATGTCTCACACAAAAGTATTGGGAAACCAGATTTCTTCTTTTTCCACTTGGATCACAGTTCCTGAAGTCTTTGTCTTGTGAAAATATTAGTTTAAAGTGCACGTGGCTAACTGGCTGACATGTGCTTTCATTCAGTAGTAGTGAGTAACTCTGTCAGTGAACATTACAATAGAGTGAAAACATAAACAGAAAATGTGAGGGTCAATGTCCATTTAGCAGCTTGTTTCTTTCCCTGGCTCTTACTTAACCTTTACAAACATTAACAGTAATTGCCATTTTTCATTAACTTCCTGAGGTGTGATGGGTCTGATTGCTGTCATTAAGAGTGACTAAACTGAATTAACTCATTCAATATATTACAATGATTCACACATAAAACTTTATGTACAGTCAGAGGCCCTTGTCAGCAGTTAAAACCTCCCTCCTTTGCAATTATTTTGCAGATGTCAGCATGTTTAATTTTTTTAAATGACATGCGTCTCCACACATGACTGTAGTGATAACCAAAGATATAGTTCAGCTAAGAAAAGCTTCAGTAATCATTTATGACACATAGAAAAGATGTCACAGCAGCTGTAATCATACAACCCGTCCTGCCTCCTGATATCCCTCACAACTCCAGTAACCACCGATTAGCATGGAGGTGAACGCTATAAAGACCCTTCCAAGAGGTGTGTCACTTCAGAATTTTCTTGTTTGGCTTTAGATAAACGGCCCAACCTCTACAAAATACAGCATCCTGACCTTTGACAGTCAATGAAATTATGGCTGACTTCAGTGTGTTCTTGATGGATTATTAACTAAAGTGAACTAATCTTTATAGACTCCTGAAAGCATCACAGTGGACAAGATTCCTACCGGTTGCAGGAGCTGTCGTTAAAGTATCTCATTGTTCTCCTATCAGGCAGGCATGGAGCGCCTCGGATAGTTGGTTGGAAAAACAGAATAAAAACGGGCCCTGAACTCTTTGGATCATCTTGTAGACGGCTTAAAATGAAATGTTGGTAATGGTACATTTATAACTGGATCTGAGAAGAGTTTGAGGATAATTAAGACGGAAGAACGATCGACTTACCAATAATACATCAAACAGAAGCTCCTCTGCCGAGATAACTATGGTTGGTACAGGTGGTCCAGTGGCCACTTTCTCTGTGTGGGATTATGTCGTGTTTGCTGGAACTATTTTGGGGGCATCTGGCATTGGCCTTTTCCAGGCCATCAGAGGCCGTAAAGAATCCAGCAACGCAGAGTTCTTGCTGGGTGGGAGGCAAATGACAGCTGTGCCTGTTGCCATGTCACTTACTGCTAGCTTCATGTCTGGCATCACAGTTATTGGCACACCTGCCGAGGCTTACCGGTTTGGAACTGCCTTCTGGCTCTTTGGCTTTTCCTATACCATTATGTCTGCCATCACTGCGGAGATCTTTGTCCCGCTTTTCTACAGACTGGGGATCACCAGCGCCTACGAGGTAGGGAAATGTCACAAACTCTTAATTGTTGTATTTTTACCAAGGCTGGATGACAAGTGCAGCGAGAAAAACTTATTATGTAAAAACCAATAGCAGCCAGCATACTTTATTGGAAGGCTGCAGATAACATGGCAACTTTTAAATGGACAAAGGTTAATGATTAACAAAGGTTGATAGATTCCAACTGCTTTAAAATAAGTTTAAAGAGCTTTAATGATTTGTTCTTGCGACATTGTGTGGAGCAATTAATCAATTTCATGATGTCTTACGGTCAAGTTTTCCTTTTCATTTCTAGTACCTGGAGTTGCGCTTCAGCCGGCCCATTCGAATAATTGGGACATCAATGTACATCGTACAGACGGTAAGTAAAACAGGCTTTTAAAACTGAGGAATAATCATTCCTTTTTGTACTTAGATAATGGAAAAAGAAATGTATAAAACCATCCATCATGGAGAAAAAAATCCATCATTAACATGGAAAAAAATTCCTTAATCCTTTTTGACTCCATCTAATCAACTAATGGTCACATCTTCACTCAGGCCCTGTACACCGGTCTGGTCATCTATGCTCCAGCTCTTGCACTGAATCAAAGTAAGTTCATATGCGGTTTGTTCTGGATACAGTCATGAAAAATGAACTCTTGTATGATGATCATCTTCCATATGTATCTGTGTTTATTGTGGATTTACAACTTTTTCTTTCCAACAAGCCCTGTAAACAAATCTCTGACAAATAAATTTAGATAGGGATGTACATCTAAGCCTTAACTGTAACTTTGTCGAATTACAACACTGCTTCTTGATGATACAGCTTTATCTTTTGTGCATGCCACTTCTTTGTCCTGATAACAGAGTTTATAAAATACTGACTGAGTGGTTAAGAAATACAGCTGTGTATCTGTCTCTCCTGTTCCTCTTAAGACATTTCATTGAAGTTAAAGATAATTTGACTTCAAGTTACTAAACTGTCACATTGCTATGTCTCAACAGGCTTGACACTTGAATCATAATGGATTATTTTTGTGTTAATCAGTCACAGGACTGGATCTATGGGGAGTGTTGGTGGCTACAGGAGCAGTGTGCATCCTCTACTGCACTTTGGTTTGTACTATGCATGATATGTTGTAGATAATGAATAGTCTGAGATCAAAACAATATACATGATGTGTATGATGAGTACAATCGTCAACTGAAATCCTATAGTCCGTAGTTGTGTTTTCATGTTAAACTCAAATAAATCTGGTTCCTCATAGTATTTATACCAAACTTTGTAATCAATCTATTTAAATTTGTGATGAATAAACCAGTCTCATCTCAGCCTACACTAGCACTTACCGGTAATTCGAAAGACTTTTCCATAGTACTTGGAAGTGATAAGCTGGCTCTACCATGGATTTGGTTTCAGGGCGGTCTGAAAGCAGTAATCTGGACAGACGTGCTGCAGATGGTGATCATGCTGGCGGGGTTTGTTGCTGTTATTGCTAGAGGAGCCGTGCTACAAGGAGGCCTGACGAAGATATGGGAAGACTCGGACCAAGGAGGCCGACTAGAGGCATTTGAGTAAGTGTACACAAGCAGATTTGAGTGCAAGTAATAATAATAATAATAATAACTTTATTTATATAGCACCTTTTAAAAACACAGGTTTACAAAGTGCTTTGACGAAGAGAAAAAACAAGAACAAAGCAAACTAAACCAAACACAGAAGAACATTAACAACAGTAAGAATATAACAGATGCAAAATACTAAGAATAATTAAATACAATTCAACAGAAAAGAACCCAAAATGCACAATACCCAACAGACATATATAACCCGACCATCACAAGAGCCATTATAAGAACCCAGGCAACACAAGAACCCAACAACAAGAGCTGAGACCAAGAGGACCAAAGATTTAAAAAAATGTAAGAAACTAAAAGAGCTGAAAAAAATAAATAAAAAGATAACAGCAATAAGAAGGTAAGAGCAGTAAAAGAAATAGAAACAAGTGGTTAAAGGATCAAAAAAACCCCAAACTATAATATTAATAAAAATAAAAAGTAAATATAAATATGAAACATAAATAGACAAAGTAAGTAAGATAAGAAATGACCAAGTTAAAACACAAGAGGAGATTAAGATATGAGCATAAATACAAGATAAGAGCATACATAAAAGAACAGTAAGAAGTAAGAGAAGATAAAAATAGTAAAACCAGTAAGAAGAGACATTAAGAAGACAACATCACATAGTCTGTAAAAGTATGTTTTAAGAAGGGATTTAAAAGAATTGAGGGAGTCTGCGAGTCTTATCTCCTCAGGGAGGTCGTTCCAAAGTCGAGGGGCCCTGACTGAAAAGGTCCGGTCACCTTTAGTTTTTAGTCTCGACTTCGGAATGACCAGGAGGCCCCCACCTGAGGATCTAAGACTGCGGGCTGGCTCATATGGTGTCAGTAACTCTGTTATATAGCTTGGAGCCAGCCCCGTCCGTGCTTTAAAAGTAATGAGTAAAATCTTAAAATCGATTCTAAAACGTACAGGAAGCCAATGTAATGAAGCTAAAATTGGAGTGATGTGATGTCGTCTGTTACAACCAGTAAGAAGCCTAGCTGCTGTATTTTGGACTACCTGGAGGCGAGACAGTGACTTATTTGTGATTCCGGAAAAGAGGGAGTTACAGTAGTCAAGTCAGGAGAAAATGAGGGCATGGATGATCTTTTCAAGGTCTGGTTGGGTTAGAATTGTTTTAATTTTGGAGATGGTATGTAGATGGAAGAAGCATGATCGGACAACTGTTTTGATATGGGATTCAAAGGTGAGATCGCAATCGAATGTTATTCCTAGATTTCTGGCGGTGGGTTGGACATTGGCGAATAAGGGACCGAGGCTGCTCTTTGAGATATGAGTGGAGTTTGGCGGGTTGAATACTATGATTTCAGATTTAGAATTGTTCAGTTGGAGAAAGTTTTGTGCCATCCAGCAGTTGATATCGTTTAGGACGTTTCTGACAGCAGCTAGGCTCCTAGCATCCTCAGGTCTCAAAGGAAGATATATGTGTGTCGTCTGCGTAGCAGTGAAAGGAGACATTGTGGCGTTCAATTATTTGGCCAAGAGGCAGCATATTAATGGAGAATAAAATGGGACCTAAAACCGAACCTTGCGGTACACCACAGGTAATGTTAGAGGTAGAGGAGGAGTAGTTACCGATGTTGACCGCGAAGGTTCTTTCTAAAAGATAAGAGTAAAACCAGCTAAGTGCAGTCTCCTTTAAACCAACCAAAATTGTGTGATCAACAGTATCAAAAGTGTCTCAAGGTAGCTGTTTTAAAGTGGGATGGGGCCTAATGAGTCAGGGCAAATAGTTGGCAGCAAGAAAACAAACTTTAATAGTATTCCTCCATCCTTTCTCCTCATCATAATTACACAGCTTCCATTTTCCTTTGTCAAGCTCAAGGTGGGAAGCTTGAGTGTTGTTATTGTGCCAGGCTACTCTAAGGTTGTAACTTACGACTTTAGAGCAGCCTAGTCTGATTTCCCTCATTTATATGACTTACAACTTGTAAGTCATATAAATGAGGGAAATCAGACGAATCTTATCATTTACATGCTTCCAAATTGATTAGCAACTAATAGGACACTTATTAAAGATAATCTTAATGAACAGTACAATACTTATTTAAAGGTAAAACCACATGTTTTGTAACTCATGAGCTGCCAAAAGAGAAGGGAAAATGTTTTAACTAACATAACCGTAAGATAGGAATTTAGACCTTTTTTATCGTCATGATTAACACTACCAAATACTTATGTTTACTTTTAGCCAGCTTGGTGTTCTCTTAAATATTAGCCAAGCAATGGCTGAATGCCAACATTAGGTGTTGTCTAATGGTAGCTAATGGGTGATCAAATGTGTTGAATTACCTCGAAAATAGCCCAATGTCATGTGGGATGTTCACCACTCATTCTTTAAGTTGATGGTTAATCATAAAGTGGAAAAATGACAACATAGGTTGTCCAACCGGTGACTTCTTATGCAAAAAAACCCAAAAAACTTATATTTCAATCAGCAGCTAGGTATACTTGCTTGCCAGCAACAATTAGACATCGGCACGTGCCACATTATTTGCTGATGGGGAGATTATTCAACAGGGTGATATCAGCCAATATGGACGTTTAACTGATGAATAGCTGCATCCCTACTGTATTTATATAACTTAGAGCAGAGTGTTAAGATATTATGACAACATTCATGCTGTTATAATGTCATGTGATGTCAGAGGAAAATGGCTTCTGCTGAAAAGTTTAAGTCTTTTTGCAAGTTTTTATGCCTATAGTGTCCCCGGAAGGACACTTCAAGGGTTCTTTGTGTAATAAAACAGATAACTGCCTAATGTCTTTACAGAACTTTAAACTGTTGATGCTTTCCCTTTAACATTGTGCACTTTTGCTGACTCTGATCACAGTTTTGACCCAAATCCGCTGAAGCGACATACTTTTTGGACTATTGTAGTCGGTGGCAGCATCATGTGGGTGTCTATCTACTCAATCAACCAGTCCCAGGTGCAGCGCTACATTTCTTGCAAAACTCTGGGACACGCCAAGATGTGAGATTTTCTGCATAGCAATGCAAACAGTAGTCAATGATCGATGGCTGTGAGATAAGGTTCATGCCCTGACACCTCTTCTTTCACCTCTCAGGTCTTTGTATGTCAACATGGTTGGCTTGTGGGTTACTGTGAGTCTGGCTATGTTTTCTGGACTCACCATGTACTCCATATACAAGAACTGTGACCCACTTACAAACGGTGATATAGGCACTCCTGACCAGGTAACTGCAGCTGCAATTTTCTCTTAATTCACATCACACAAACATTTCACACCTTCTTATGTAACACTTAATTATAGTAAAGAGTTTTATAATGGTAAATATTTGTGAACCAGCTGCTGCCCTACCTGGTGATGGATATTCTGGCAGACTTTCCTGGAATCCCTGGATTATTTGTGGCAGCTGCATACAGTGGTACACTGAGGTGAGGCCTGAGACAACGGCGGACAAAGTTATGTTTAGTTGATAGGGAAAAGCTCAGGTAGATAAGATGCAATGATAAGGAGATAATGAGCCGGAAATACAGTATACACAATACTTTGACACTAACCTTTGATCTAAAGAGCCATTTAAGTACATGAGCCTTTCTGTGTTTCATTCAAAGTGACTTTAAGCTTACTGTTTCATATTTTTCAGCACAGTGTCTTCCAGCATTAACGCCCTAGTAGCTGTCACTGTAGAAGACTTTATTCTTCCAGTGTGCAAAAACCTCACACAGAGACAGACCACCTGGATGAACATGGGCCTGAGTAAGTTATGTAAAAAAAGACTTCTACAGTAGCCAAACAGTGAGCAGGTATCAGAAGATAAAAAGGTTAAGAGCCTCTAACTACTGCTGTGAAGAATGCTTTTTCATAAAAGCATTCCTGTAAACCTAATTATTTATTTCAAGACATCTTGCAAAAAACCCTCAAACACTATAACACGTAGGATCGTTTTCACCTCATGAAGTTAACAACCTAAAAAATGGCTCCTTTAATGGAAAGCTTTTCTGTTTTACTGAACAAGTAATGACAAGATGGAGATGAACAAGTAATGACAAGATGGAGATGAACAAGTAATGACATGAAGGAGATAAACAGTGAACATATCTTTCACAAAGCAATTAAATATAAAGAAAGTGAATGGTTACACAAGGGGAATTCACTGAGAAGAAAATCACAAGTGGGAACTTGTAGGCAATTTGACCTTTTTGGCAAGGATACAGGGTGTGGCCCCTAACTCAGGTTCTGTTACATAAATTGAACGGCAAACACAGTTATACATTTCCTTAATTTAATATTGACAATAAATGAGTTTGACTCTGTATGCTGTTTGCAAAGAACGTCACAATATCCTTAAAGTTCAGTTCAACAAAGCCAACACTGTAAGAAAGAGGAAACTAAGAGACACTTAACCCTTTGTTATCTCCACTGTCACATAAATGACAGTAAAATGCAAAACTAGTGAGGCTGTTATGTGCTGAGAAGAACTATTTATTATCATAATGGTCATAAATAATCTTTAGTCCTACCTAGAGTATAGCATAGTAATAATGATGATATATTTGATTAAATGTACATGAACATGATCCAGGTGAAGGCAGAGCTGGATGAATGGATTAAGCACTACAATTCTTAATGTATTTATTATGATTCATATTTGTAATTATTATGTAACTAATATCATTACAATTTTAAATTGAAGTGGTAATATTTGCTATAGGTCTGATGAGGCTGATTAGCTAAGATTAAATAACATCCTGCATGCAAAACCTTCTGTCCAAACCATTCTACTTTAGTTTATAGATACGTAATGTTGCTTGAAAGTTGGCAATATGATACAAAGTTAAAAAAAATATCTCATATCATATCTTGTGTGGTTGACACTTGGCTAATCTGCTGTAAATAACATCTGGATCTGCAGTTTCTCTTTCAATGATAATAATGCTCATTTCAACGCCTCCCAGGTGTATTTTTCGGTGCCTTGTGTATTGGGATGGCTGGAGTGGCTTCACTGATGGGGAGCATTTTGCAGGTAACACCAATTGCTACTCAACTGCAGCCATGTATTGCTGTACAGCACCACCAAGAGGTGAGCATTAAGAACTACAAGCCTCCTGGTGATTTTCTATTTTCAGGCAGCTTTGTCCATATTTGGCATGATCAGCGGGCCTCTTCTTGGTCTTTACCTATCAGGCATGCTTTTCCGCACAACAAATTCAGTAGTGAGTATTTCCTGTTAATGGAACATTCAATAGCACCACTGTGACCTCACATAACAAAAAGAAATCAAGACAAATGTGAAATATATCCATGGCATTTTTGATCCCAGTTGCATATGATTTACAGGGAGGACTTGTGGGAATGATCATTGGTCTAGTTTTGACTCTATGGGTGGGGATCGGAGGTCAGATTTACCCACCAACCACTGACAAGACAAACCCTCTATCACTCAGCACGATAGGCTGCAACAGCACAATGGGCCAAAACTTCACAACAGCAGCTCCCTGGACCAGCCCAGTGCCAACGCAGCCTGAGTAAGTCATATGACATAAACAAAGGTCCACCTGCTGTTACTCAAGCATGTAACTAGATCACAATGAAAAGGGATACTCGATCACCTCTCAAAGTAAACAAAGCAGAAAAAAAGTCTAAAATGTAAGGACCTGTGGTTTTATTGTTTAATGTAATTCTAAACAGAATCATTATATTTTTTTATAAGATTATTATTTGTGCCTTTTGTATTTATTGTTGAGACAGCTTAAAAGAGTAAAGACATTTTGGAGAGGGGGGGTGGTGGTTAGTTGGATGGAGTAACCTAATGAAGATGTTACTTTGAGCAAAGTATTTAAGAGATCAAAGAATAATATGAGTATAGATACGATCCTTTTTAGTATCAACCCCACTTCAAGTACCGTTATGTCCTTAGACAATCGTACTGGTGTAACAAGTGTAGAAAAACAGGAGGGTGATGAGTAAAAATAATGCATTTCTTTTTGTGTCAGTATCAGACCTGCTCTGGCAGACTCCTGGTACTCTCTGTCCTATGTCTACTTGTCCCTCTTGGGTGCACTGACTACAATTGTGTCTGGCCTGCTGGTGAGCATGATCACAGGTGAGACTTTTTTTACAATGCTGAGGCACACCCGTACCTGCATGGTCTATACTGTGTTGGTGTTTTCAGACCAAACCGTTTTTGGGACTTTGGGTCTTTGGGAACTATCCGCTAGGGAGTTCCCTGAGAACTTAACACCATGGGAACTTTCTTCCTGTCTACATTTGTACCGCCATGGTAACTACTCTGAGGCAGGAGCTAAAAAGTTTCCTCTTAACAGGGTTCTAGGAAATAAAGTAGTTCATAGTTCCTGCGATGTAGAATGAATAAAAAAAAAGGAGTAACTATGAAGATGTTCCTGCAGTCCAAAAAAACATGTTAAAATATAATATTAGTCTTTAGATACTAAGTGTGTTTAATGTTCAGGTGGATGCAAGCAAGAAAAGAGGAACCCTGATCTGTTTGTAAAGAAGAGTGACCTGTTCTGCTTCAGCTGGTGTAGTAAATCAGAGGTAAGAGTCACTGACCCTTTTGTTCCATAAAGTACAGACATATAATATTACTCATCAAGCTAAAACATTGAGCTTGAATTTAGTCACCTTACTAATAGTTGTCTTCTTGTTCTCAACCTATTGCAGGAATCAGAAGTCAAAGAAAAGGATCTAAAAGACTTTAACATGGGAGTTGCCAACGTGTCAGTCAAACACGCCGACATGATGACTACAGATGTTGAAAAATCCACCAAACTCTGATGCTGCTACACTCCATAATGATACACTGTTCTATAATTCACTTCATTTCAGAGACGCTTCAATGTATATACACATAAATAATAAGTACATATATTTTCTGCTGCTACATTCCAAGAACAAATAATTATTCAACAACTACTGGTATGTGTCCTTATGTTGACAAGACTTACGTTTGAGGTAAAAGGGATTTTAGATGTTTTAGTAAGAAAAGGTTCGTGTGGATACATTTTAGTATTATTGAAACTAAACTTCACAACATTCAAACTCAAATTCCATATTCAAGCTAACTAACTCAACTAAAGTTACAGCACAGTTAAAAAAAAAACCTACAGTATGAAAATCTACTGCAACATGTGGTGCCTTTCCGTAGTGCTATAACATTTACGTTGTTGTGTATTCCCCTAAACAATAGAAGAAAAGACATGTAACATAAACACAAGGTTGCCACATATTTTGCTCTGCACTGATTAACTGCTCTGGCATCCTGTTAAGCAGTAACATAACATGATTGCCCCTTGTTAAAATGGCTGCTAGCTCTTTATTCTGAAAGAACATTGTCCTCCTCCACCTTACGTTAATACAAAAAGGGACAGCACACTAGATTAGTTTGTTATTTTACCATATGTATGATGGCATTACTGTTTTGAAAGAACAATGGGCATTTCTTTGAGTATTTGTTTATGACTTGATTATTTTTATATGGAAATTGTGAACTCTTTACCCGTATGAAGTAGTCCCAACTACTACCTGTACTAGTTAATAAATGTTTTGTACAAAGTTAAACTGTGTTGGCTGAAAACAAGCTTACACAAGCACGTTTCAAGTTCTCTCAAGAAGACAAGGAACTTCCGTGAGTGTATGACCTTGGTATGTATGTGAGACAGAGTACAGAACATTGATGCAGTCAGTAAAAATACATTTACTGCGTAGTTAATTCTTTTTGCAACAAGGCTTCTCGTAACCTCAGGGCAGGGCAGTGATCAGAGCGAGGGAGGGACAGATAAGAGAGGAACTGAGCTTTGGTCTTGTTAATAACAGAGTCCTTTGTCTCTGTGGCAACATACACTAGAGGGAAGTTTACAAAGCACTGACCTGCCCACTTTTGCCTGCCAGTTCGCCAGCTAACTGATCCTGAAGCTGTGTCAGTATACAGGAAGTGTGTTGTTTACCGTAACATGGAGGCACTCTCAATAGCAGGAAGATGAACTAAGATAATGTTTCATTGATAATAACAAAGGTGAGCATGTATTTTTTTTTTCTTTTTAAACTGTCTAATGATATTATTTTCTGCATAAGTTGTTTTTTCTTCTCCATCAAGGATTTCTCTAGCTTAGCTTTCTCATGAGAGGGAATTATAAAGTTTCCACTGATCTGACAAAAGATAAGCATTAGCAGGTGTTACCGTATTTTCTAAGTGCTTACACAGCTGTGGTTTAGTGTGCCTGAAGTTATTTCCAGCAGCAACATTGTGAATGAAATATTTGAAAACTCTTAAATTGAACCTACTTTCAAAAGATCATACACTATTTATAACATATAATGTTTACCTTCTAACAATATCAAGAGCTAAGACTAAAGGCTAGTCACAATATAACTACAGTTAAGCATAATAACACAGATGTTACAGTGTTTTTTAGTCCGTCTTTCTTTTCACAGTAGAGGACCTCAAGGCAATGGATACCACGTTTGCTGTGCTGGCTTGCTGCCTTTTGGCGTTTCATTTTGCGGTGGCTCAAAAAGATAAGGGGAATACGACAGTCACACCTACATTATCAACAAATACCTTAAACCAAAATAAGACAACGATGACGCCAACTACAGCAAACTCTACAACATCACATGCAACTGTTATCTCAGACTTGACTGAGAACACAACTCCTTTTGATAGCAAGGAAGCATTCACCAAAACTATTGAAGCATCAACTGAGAGCACAAGTCATCCTCAGACTATTCAGTCAACAACCATCACCACCACTCCTCTAACAAGTCATACATCACTGACAACTGGAACACCCGGCACCAACACACCGACTTTTACTGCACTGACAACACCATTACAGCAAACTACAGGAGTTCACGTCACTTCACCTGATACTACAGTTACTAAAGCTAATTCAACTCACTCTGTCAACCCAACCTCAGATTCAAAGTACAGCACCACACATGGTAGGCAACTGGCTTGACATTATTATTTAAGACTTAAAGACATTATTTTAATGCTTATTATTGTTATGGTTTCTGTATTTCTAGGTTTGGGCTTAAACAAGTCAGAAATGAATATGACTATTATCTTCAGCATTGTCCTCGGATTGTTTGCCGTGGTACCGGTTGTGTTCTTGTTTTACAAATACAAACACAATATCCAATACTTGCATCAACCTTTAACCAACACTGATGCTACAGGTAAGGAACCCCCTTCATCACACGTTAAACACAAACCATTTCATGAATTACTTGCATTTAAAACAAAAAACCTATTACATTTCCTACAGATGCATATGTGGCAGATGAGGACACACTTGTAATTTCTGGAGGACTTTATGATGGCCATCCAATATACGACAATGTGCCAACACCCCCAGAAGACCAATCTCAGTTCCGTCTGGAGTTCCTTCATTAATGTGAACAGAATTCCAACGCTGAGATTTCACCTTTGGTGCTTGACTGGCATGGCGAATACTTAATACAAGACTGAAATGTCCCCCCTTTAAACCTGACGGCCAATTGAAGAGAGGAAGAGAAGTTGCTGATGTGCAGAACATTTATTCAAAGACAATGCTGATGGATCTGATCTTTAATGTTAACAATGCCAATACAAGGATTCATAAATATATTAGCTATATTAAGTTACAAATACTTAACAATCATCTTTCCCACAACAACAATGTAAACTTGTGCCAAAACGAGCTTCCATTTAAACACCAACAAAGACCAATTCTTCGAGATAGTAAAAAAAAACACCAAACAGAACTTGAACACAATTCAAACAACTAAAAAACTTGAATGTTGAATCAGTCACTTAAATTGAAATGAAGAACAATGAGCTAAAATTGTAGGAATATTAGCCAATAAAACTTTCAATTGTAAACAATACGGTTCAGCAAGTTCATTACAATACTTTCAATGCATGCTGTGAAATTCATTTGCCCGGTATTTACTTATTATTTTATCCCAAATGTTATTATATAATCCATGAAAGATGGAATATGAACACCTAAACCTCTCTCAGATACGGTTATTGTGTCTAACCTGTCACAGGACTATTTAAGCAAAGATCTTCTCATTGGTCCTCTTTTTTTTTGTGTTACAGCCAGTAACAGTAGTCCACCCAGCATCTCTCATCCTTTTCATTGCAGCTCACTTTAAGGAGTTCCCTGGTGATTTATGAACGGCTGGACTCTGGATCTGATTGAATGAAAAAGCCCAAAAATTATTATTTTTTCTAAATATAGTCTTTCAAATAGCATTGCTGGACTTTGGACAGATTACCTTTTTGAAGATGTTTTGTTCGCAGGATGGAGCAGAAAAGTTGGCTGGCAGTGCACTTGCAAAGGTCTTTTTGAAAGAGGAACCAGAATCATCTTCTTCAGCAACTTAACACAAACGATCAAATACAATTCATGATACAAAAAGTTTCATTAAACTTACCAGGAGATCACGTAGATCGGAGCTGTCTGACTTGGGGTCAAGCTCAATCGTTTTCTTCCAGCATACAGCCTTTTCAGTAGAAGGGGGTGTCCTTATTCTGTAGGACTGAAAGGGAATTCAAGGAGTGAATGTCAGCAGAAGTGATGAATATTTTTTTATTCATTTTGGGAAATGTCAGAATGAAACTGAATTAAATTACTTTGATCTTTGAGGTTCCTCCAATCCTTTTTGGAAGACTTTGTGGGGTTTTCAGGTCTCCACTTTGAATTTCCTATGATGCAAAATCAATGTCAGTGTGCAGTATTTTGAAAGAAACAGTAAACGCAATCATAAACTGAATTAATGTGTTAATAACAGTCTCTATTATCTAATCACATTTGCTCAGTAATACATCAAACTGCCATCTACCTGGGTCTTTTGTGATGTTCCACATGGTGTTCTGATGGATTCAGCATCAAATTATTTATCCTGTGAAGAAGACAAAGAATGTTAAAGTAGTTAAATTTACAAGTGCTTGGTTATAGCATGCAGTGACTCATGATATGAAAAGCATTAATTAAGAACAACATGAGGACACAGTTTTAATTACACACATACACACATACATAGCTTATAGACTAAACCCCACCAAAACACCTTCTATGTCTTTTCTTCACACACAATAATAATGAATAATGGAGAGGTGATCTGAATAAAAAAGGAATGAAAATACAGTTAAAAGGTAAGAAGGTAGCACCTTTAATGGGATGGGGCTCTGAAAATAGACAAGTGAATACAATGTGTATACTAGCTCCAATTACAATTGTTTGAAACTGTAAACATTGTTACAATTTTGAGTAATAATTAGATAGAAATGAATGAAGAATTTACAACTTCATGATTTCATCTCCATCTCAATTAATGAGATGAGACAGTTTACTACGTGAAAAAATTAGATTCAACTCATGTCATTCTTCATCACTGCCGTACTTCTTGTGACTTTACTATGGGAGGGAGTTTTTCTGCTCTCGGAGAAGTCAAACACGTGTCTCGTTGCAAAATTGTCTTTTGGAGTATCTGATGATTTCCCTTGTGTGGATTTTAAGGCAGGAGACTAGAATTTTAAGATGAAATCTTTGTTAGATACAAATGATAAACAATGGCAATTAGTGGCTCCCTATTTGCTCATATGCAGGTTTGTACCTGCTTGTTTCCTGATCCTGATAGCTGAATGATTTTCATTGATGACATTTCTTTCTTCAAATCCAAAAGTTCCTTCTGCAGGTTTGCCTAAAAGCAATCAAAAGTGTGTGTCAGAGAATGAAGCGTCTCTCATATAACAAAGTACATCTTGCTCAAGTAAGGAGCCAAAAATAAACACATTCAAACAAAGACTTAATGTACCTTCTTTGACACTTCTGTCTTCAGCTGTTGCTTCAGCTTATCATTGTCTGTCTTATTCTTCAAAAGATCCAACTCCTGGTTTATAAGAAGGGTTTGAATGTTAAATGATGAATTTCAATCAGTCACTTTTTCATTTAATAACTAATGTATGACATTGCTGTATCATACCAGTGATTTCTTCTGGCAAACCGCCTCCATCTCTCTCTTTTTGTTCTCATCAAGCTCTGCATCCTTCTCTTCAACCATCCGGTCATACTGGCTCTAGTAATGACAAGTCAAATTCCTTTCAATGCAAAAAGTCTTTGGATCAACAATGCTGCTGGAAGAGACCTTTTTCAGATGGCACATAACCGTTATGATGAGCGTACCTTGTGTTTCTCCATTAGTGCGACCATATCTGCTATCTTCTGTTGACATTTCAGTTCTGCCTCGTCCTTGTTCCATTCATTTCAGCTCCATTCATTACTGCTCACAACAAGTAAAACAATGGCATAAAAGTTGGCTAATAATTACTGTACAGTATGAAAGTGTAAGTGCTGAGAAAGCATTTATCATTTATTAATTTACCCATAGTAACCTGTTGGCTGTACAAACGCACCTGGTCTCATGTTTTCATGAAATCACAGTTTTCCAGTGTTTCCTGAGGTCGAACAGCAGACACCTGTCCTTCATGAACCCTGGGAGGTACCCACAGTTTGAAGGTAAAACCTCTCTCCATCCTGTAACCACAAAGATACACTAACAAGCTTCAGTTATCAAACTTTAGCATCATAAGCTTGAACTTTTAACTTTGAAGTTTGATAAATGAAGTCAGACTCGTACGAGAGCTCTGACGCCTCATGGCTAATTCAGATAACAGTGGTGACACATGATCATTTACACATTTAAAAAACAGTTTAAGATTACTGAAATTCATAAAATTGTCAAAGGTGAAAAGGTTGTGTTTTTTTTTTTTTAAATGCCGCAGTGATGCCATCTCATTTTTATTGTCTGCTTATATTCAAAATTCAATCTATTCAATCTCTTCTCAGCTTTCCCTGTCCAATAAAGACAAAAAGGCTGAAAAATAATCTTAAAAAGGAAAAACAAATCAGCAATGGGTTGCACCAGCTGTGCGTAAATCCAAGCAGAGGTTAGTTCCCACTCGAGATTACGTCCCTCAGAAATGATTGTGAAGCGTTTTAAAGCCTTGTGCTGTAGTTGATGATTTGACCACTAGATGTCACCGTTGTTTCTTTATACCAGCTGTACATTAAGAATGTAGCTTTTAGTTATAACCTGATCATCCTGCCTTGTCATATTTTGCAGAACTTTTTTGTTGCTCTTTGAAGATTAACAGAAGTTTCTCTCAGCTGTTTGTCTGTTTTAAAGACAACAAGGCTTGTGAGACAAACACACTGCATTAAGATAAAAGCTTTCCACTGACTGGTCACATGAAGTTAAAACTTAATCTCTGCAACAATATTTTGGTTAGTTTAGATGTGACAATCTACTAGTTACAATGAACCTTACATCCCTGTGGGGCAGACAAACACTGACATGACTGAAGCTGCAAATCAACAAGTTTCTGAAATGACTTTTTAGCTTACAACACAGAACCGACTATCAGAAAGTGCATACTGCTAAGAATAGAGGTTAGGCTTCAATGTTTTCTTTTTTTTTTGGAGCAAACTGAGAGCAGCCTCTATTTTTATGACATGTTGAATTATTTTTTTATTTTTTGGTTAACCTCAATGAACTATGAAGAATATTAAATTAATAATGAAGTCTAGGTACTTGACCTGTTAAAGCTGGCATAAACAGATGAATGGGACCAGAGGAGTGTGTGTGTCTCTAAATGACCTCTTCTCACCTGCTTCTTGTTGCTGTAAATAACTTCACTACGTCTGAGCATTTGACATTTGGGGTTGACTCGGCTGTAGGAAATATAACAATAACTACTTTCAGCATTCCCCTCCAAATCTACTATAACGTGAAATGTTTAGACAGTGTAGGCTATACTTTACTTTGACCTCTTTGGTGCAAACTGGAAACATTTACCCATTACTCTTTACATAGTTGCAGATAAAGAGTATTAGAATAGAGTATTAGAGCCACTGAAACATTTTTTTGGGGGGTCTGTTATTTATTTATTTATTTTGATTCTGACTGAGAAAAAAAGTCAGAATTCTGAGATTAAAGTCTCAACCCTAACATTTATTTTTCCGTGGCCCTACTCCTATTCCGTACAAATAACACATAAACCTGTTCCCCGTCAAAGTTTTGTGTTTGTTAATTTGCTGTTTGTGCTAGGATATAAAGTAATTTCATAATTATCATTTGTGTCAAATCATTGATTTCTAAGGTAGTAGTTGCACTCAGAGGACTTTGGTGGGAACAAAAGCGCACCAAACCCCAAACTGAATTCCTACATAATGTTGCATTGATACAGACTTGGCCGTCCCAATTTTTTATTTTTAATGCTGTTTATTATCATTCATTATTCATTGTTGTTTGTGTTGATCGATTCTGTTCTGTGTTTTTTTTTTTTTTTTTGATGTGAGATTTTGTGGGAGAAACCAGAGCACCTGGAAGTAAACCCTAAACACACACAGAACATCCAATCTCATCAACACAAATGAGGACATTCATGCGCCGCTAGCCGCTGATGCCTCATGGTGACTCGAATAGGGAAATAGAAGAGGGGAACAGAAAGGTTGAGTAGAAAGAGAAGAAAGGGACAGGACAATGATGTCTGTTAACCATTTAGGTCTTTCTGGTCAGTAGCCTTTTGAGATCCAAGTTTTGCGAAAGCACTTGGTCTGCGCAATGGCCAATCTCCTCAAGGATTCTCGAGACTCCTTAGAATGGCAGTCGTAATTCTCGGCAAGCTGGGGGCAGGACTGTCCTTTGAATGTGTTCTTTGAGTTAGTAGATGGCAAACGGTTTACCAGCGGATTGATCCATTTGTTGCCTCTGTTAGATGGTGGCGTCTTGTTCTGTTTTAAACACTTTGTGGTGCTCTGTATATCTTCAGTGTCATATATTGACCCTGACTCTTGGGTGTCAGAAATTGAGAGACAGTGGTTCTGCTTTAGATGTACCTCACCTAGCTCTTCAATGTGAGCAGTGGCAGAGTTATGCAAAGTTTTCTCTGTACCATTTACTTGATGCTGAGACAACTCTGCACTAGCAGGAGAACACTCGGCTGAAGTTTCTCCAGCCCTGAAATTGTCTCTACAGGAAATGGATGTAGGACTTCTCAGCCTCCACCTGTCATCCCATTTCTTAAATATTTTAGTCTCCTCGTCCAATGATAGAAAGGGGTCATATTCCTCCTGCAAATCATCTTTCTTCTCTTCTTCTTGCTTCTCTATGCCGATGCGTGATCTGAACATGAGCTTTTTACACTTTACCGGCTTGTTATTAGCAGTAGATCTTTGAATGCACTTCTTCTCCCTTTCTTTCAGTTTCTCAAGTTTCAACCTAGACTCCTCTGCACGCAGCCTCGTCATCTTCTCTGTGTAATGCCATTTTTTCATTTCTGCCAAGACTTCTTCAGGAATTTTGTCAAGCTGATCAAACAGTCTAAACATACGGTGCTCTATACTGGCCATTTTCTCCAAAGTGTCGAGAGTGTTATACCGAGTATCTACTATGGTGCGATACACATCAGTCACCTTCATACCCAGAGCTTCCAGCAAGAGATCCTGGCCATCTTTAGGTATTGAATCATGGAGCTGAACCTTGCGTTTGAAATGGGCACCTCTTTCTTTGTATCTCTTGATTTGATCCTTTACTTCATTTAGCTCAGAGTTTAGCTTCACTTCTTTCACATTAAATGCATTTACAATTTTCTCTGTTTGCAGATGAAACTCCTTCAGCATTTCATTGTTTCTGGTGATACTCTGATACAGGACTAGGTGTTGCTCGGCCAGCTGCTGGCTCTGATCCACAATCTGCTTGGGATCAGATAG